TAACTTTTTTTTTGATTAGTGTTAACACAACACAGCTTTTCCTATCCTTTTAACCTATTTCAGTCTTTAGATTTCATGCAGGTTTTCTTTTAGACCATATAGCTGGATTTTGCTTTTTATCTAAATTAGGCAATTTCTGACTTTTCATGGGGGAGTGTTTAGACCATTTATGTTTAATATGGTTTTTATATTTTAGAGTTTAAATCTATCAGCTTTCTATTTGTTTTCTATTTGTCCTATCTGTTCTACATTTCCTTCTGCCTGTTTTTGGACTAATTGAATTTTTTTCCATTTCATCATCTTTCTTATCCTACTAGTTATAATTCTTTTAAAAAATTGTAATGATTGCTTTAGCATATATAGTACACAGGTAGTTTCCTAAGGCTATCTTTAGAAAGTACCACAAACTGGGTGGCTTAAAACAACAAATTTATTCTCTCACTGTTCTGGAGGCTGTAAGTCTGTAATTAATGTATTGGCAATGTTGGTTTCTATTGGAGGCCCCGAAGGAGAATTTGTTCGATCCTTCTCTTTTAGCATCTGGTAGTTGCCTGCAATCCCTGGTGTCCGTTGGTTTATAGATGTGTCATTCCAATCCTTGCTTTTGTACTCACATGGTGTTCCCCCTTATGTCTTTGTGGCTTTATGTGGACGTTTTCCCTCTCTGTTGTGTTTGTGTACTCAAATTTACCTGGTATTATAAAGACATCAGTCATTGGATAAAGTTCATCCTAATCCAATATACTGCATCTTAACTTGATTACATTTGCAAACACCCTGTTTCCAAGTAAGGACATATTCACAGGTACAGAGCTTAGGATTTGAACATATGTTTTGAAGGGGCCAATTCAACCCCCACAAGAGTATCTTTATCATGATCTACTTTCAAGTAATATTATGTCACTTTATGTATAGTATTAGAATTTTATACCTTCATGTCTTCCCTCCTAGTCTTTGAGTTATTGTCATACATTTACTTCTACTGGTTATAAACCACATAATATAAAGTCATTTGTTTTTGAAACAAGTTTTTAAAATAAGGACATTTATATTTACCCACAGATTTGCCACTTCTAGTGTTCCTCATTTTTCTAGATTTCCATCTGATATCGTTTTCCTTCTATTTGAAATACTTCTTCAAGATTTCTTAGAATGCAAGCCTTCTGGTGATTCGTTATTTCACATTGTGTAAGTCTAAAACAGTATTTGGTTGCAGGATTTTTCTGGTGTTGTAGTAAAAGCACATAACATTACATTTACCATCTTAACCATTTTTAACTGTGCAGTTCAGTAGCGTTAAATATATTCACATTGTTATGCAACAGATCTCTAGAACTTTTTCATCTTGCAACGCTGAAACTCTATACCCACTAAATACTAATTCCTCCTTCCCGTTTCTCCCAGCCTTTGGTAACCATCTTTCTACTGTATTTCTGTAACTTTGACTACTTTAGATACCTTGTATGAGTGGCATTACACAGTATTTGTCCTTTCGTGACTGCTTATTTTGCTTATTTCACTTTGTGTAATGTCCTCAAGTTTCACTTATGTTGTAGCATGTGGAAAGATTTCCTTCTTAATGCTGCATAATATTTTGTTGTATTATACCACATTTTCTTTATTAATCTATTGAAGGACATTTGAGTTGCTTCTGCCTGTTGGCTATTGTGAATAATGTGCACAGGTCTCTTCAAGATCTTGTTCTGAATTGGATATATATCCAGAAGTGAGAATGCTGTACTGAATGGTATTTTCCTTTAATTTTTTGAGGAACCACCATACTGTTTTCCATAATGGCAACATTCACAACACAGTGCACAAGGTTTCTAACTTCTTATTTTCTGTTTTTTGGATAGTGGCCATCCTGATGGGTGTGAGGTGATGGTTTTGATTTGCATTTCCCTAATGGTTAGTGATGCTGGTGTCTTTTTATATGCTTAGTGGCCATTTGTATATCTCTTTTTTGAGAAATGTTTATTCAAGTCCTTTGCTCATTTTTGAAGTCAAGTTATTTCGTTTTTGTTGTTCAGTTGTAGAAGTTCCTTGTATATTCTGAATATTAACCACTTATCAGATGTACGACTTGCAATTATTTTCTTCCATTCTTTAGGTTTCCTTTTCATGCTGTTTTTTATTTTGACACACACAAGTTTTTCAGTGTGATGTAGTCCCAATTTGCTTGTTTTTGATTTTGCTACTTGTGCTTTTGATGTCGTATCCAAGAAATAGTTGCCAAATCCAATGTCCTGAACAATTTCCCCCAAGCTTTCTTGTGGTAGTTTTGTAGTTTGCTTCGTCTTTGGGTTCACTAATCTTTTCTTCTGCAATGTCTAATCTTGGGGAGACTTTGGAGTGGATTTCTTTGTTCCTGTAGTGAAGCTGGTGGGGTTTAGGGCTACCAAGATTCAATTATTCATGTTTATTAATGTTAGTTTGCCTGTTTTTTAGAATGATGAAGCTAGGGGAGTATGGGGTATGCATCTTTGGAAGACTTTTTTTGTTTTTTAATGAAGCTGAGGAAAGTGGGTGAACAAATTCTATGAAATTCAACCACATGTGTAAAATACTATTTCTTCATTATTAGATTACTATTTAAACTTGAAAATTCAAAAACTGAATAGTTAATGCAAGATAAAACAATTGTACAAAAGCAGAGAGAAAATCAGTACACAATACAACCCAAGCAATGCAGTGCAATGCAATAACAACACAAAAGCGGGGAAAATCACATGGTGAAGGGAGTCGGGGGAAATGAAGAGGTAAGAGTGAAGGTAAGTTCTCATAAGAGGGACCATATCTTAGTTATTATTGTACGCCTATCAGGAAAAACAGACAATGTAAACACATTTATTGAGCAACTTCTACATGCCAGGTGTGGTATGGTATGGTTCTGTGTACTTTACTCTTTAGAACCACAGTATAAAGCAGTTATTAATATGTTTTAAAACACAGAAAGTTTACATAACTTGCTCAACCTGTAGTATTGAGTGTTGAATCAACATTAGCTGAATAAGTGAATACATGTTTATTCAAATGAAAGATATGTTGTGGATTACCTTTGGTGGACTTTTCTAATCTTCTCTACAGAAGTGCTAGACTGATAACTACAGACTAGGAAGAGGACCATAATACTTGATATGCAGCAATAGCAACAATAATTGCTGCTGCTATGGTCTAAATGTTTGTGCCCCTGAATTCATATTTTGAAATACTAACCCCAAGGTGATGGTATTAGGTGGTAAGGCCTTTGGGAAGTGATTAGGTCATGAGGACAGAGCCCCATGAATGAGGTTATTACCCTTATAAAAGAGGCTCCAGAGAGCTCTTTTGCCCCTTCCATCATCTGAGGACACAAGAAGGCATCACCTATGAATCAGAAAGCAGGCCCTCATCGGACACCAAATCATAGCTTCCAGAACTATGAGAAATAAATTTCTGTTATTTATAAGTCACCCAGTCGGTGCTACTTTGTTACAGTAGCCCAAGTGGACTAAGATAGCAGCTAATACATATAGACTTCCTATGAGTTGGGTACTGTTTTGATTTACATATATTAACTCATTTAATACAATACTTTGAGACTGAGTACAGTGTTTATTCCTCATTCTATAGATAAGGAGACTTAAGTGCAGAGAGATGAAGTAGCTTATTCAAGATTATCCTGTTAGTAAGTAATGAGGCCAGGATTTGAACCTTGAATGGAGCTCCAAGCTGTACTTCACACCTTCTGCACATGTTGCTTTTCTTCACTGGCTCACCTGGCTTCACCTTTGGGTTCAGGCCCAGAAGGTCAAGGTTTCCGTAATTTCTCTTTTCAGCCTCTTATAGTCACTTTGACAAGTAGTGCTTTCCTAAGCTAAAGGAAATATTGATTGCCTTGCCAGCTTTTTTTTATTACAAAGACAATCTGAAGTCATGGAGTAAGGTACAAATCTATTTAGCTTTCTGGTGGTAGGAGAGGTGAACTTAAGTCAACCTTGTTATATTTCCAGGATTACCACATTTTAAATCTCAAAATGAATATGGTTAGGATATGGAGAATGAGATGTACAGTTCCATTCTGTAATTCTTCTCATCCATGTTCATTTTCTGAACTAAGATAAATGCGTAGCTCAGGGATGCCTTAGCAGACTCTAAAGAAACATGCTGTAAACTCTTCAGATTTTAAGCTTCTTTAGCGACAAGCACTGAATCTTTGTACCCTTGGTGCCTATCTCAATGCATGGCAGATAGGCACTCAATAAATATTCTTTCTTGGAAACAAGAACTGAAGGTTAAAAACAATTTCTTTGAACTATATAGTGAAGACAATTTGTAAATGAGAAGATAGTATCAATGCAGAGAAATGGGCTATGTTATTCCCATACCTTCCTTAAGAACTTCCAATTCCTCCTTCAAAATTTGGCTCAACTGTTACTTTTTTCCACCACAGCTTCCCCTTCTGCCTAGTTAACAAGCATACCCTCAGTGCCCTTACAGAATTATGTGTATACCTCTCAAATCCTCTCATAGTATATGTTCACACTTCTTATCCTCCTCAATTGAGTTCCTTCTAGGTAAGGAATGTTCATTTTCTTTTTTTTGTTCATACGGAGTTCTGCTCTGTCACCCAGGCTGGAGTGTAGTGGCGCGATCTCAGCTTACTGCAGCCTCTGCCTCATGGGTTCAAGCGATTCTCCTGCCTCAGCCTCCCAAGTAACTGGGATTACAGGCATACACCATCATGCCCAGCTAATTTTTTTGTACTTTTAGTAGAGATGAGGTTTTGCCATGTTGGCCAGCTGGTCTCAAACTCCTGACCTCAGGTGATCCGTCCGCCCTGGTCTCCCAAAGTGCTGGAATTACAGGCGAGAGTCACCATGCCCAGCCAGAATGTTTATTATATTTAACACAGTGCCTGAGAAATAGCTCAATAAATGTTTGATGAATGAATATATAGCTGCACAGATGAGACCTTGAAGCCCAAACCCATTTCCGCATACAAAAAGGAAAGATGAAACTTTTATTTTTATTGATACTGAATATTTATTATCTGTTACATACCAGGCAAAATGGACACACCATCAGGAGATAAAACTTGTATCTTACATGTAAGATGAAACTTATATTTATTGATCGAATTATTATTTTTTGAGTATTTGCTATACCAGGCAAAAGGCACAGAAACAAATTATCTGTTCAGTTACTTTTAACTCTTTCAGCAATGCCTGAGTCCTCTTTATAAAAACTTCATTCTGCTAAGTTAGCAACCATTCATTTTTTTTGGTTACTCTTCATGTATAGTTTTCTCAAGTGTCCCTTCAAATATTGCATAATGGTATAGACCATTTAATATTCCAAATGTAGTCTGAAAGACTAGAGGAATCATCATTAATTTCATTTGTGTGTGACAAAGCCTCATCCAATGGAGTAAAACCCTTCCTTTTGGTGGCAGTGGAACGGTATGATACCTAAAAAGATAAAAGAGTTAATCACTTCTTCTGGATATGAATGCTATTAGAAGTTTGTTGACTTCTCCTAAACTGATAACTGCCTTTCTAGGTCTATAATGTAGAGAGCAAAAAAGTTAAAAGTTAGCTATCTGAAATACCAAATGACCACATTTTGATTCAAATATATCATAGACAGCTAAAGAAAAAAGAGAGTTTATTAACCTAAAAAAAAAAAAAAACAAAAAGTAAAAAAGAAGGAAAAGGAACAACTTACTTAGTTGCCAGACGTCCATTTTTAGTAAAAGCCAAAGAACTGGGATAGAAAACACCACAAACTATGCCGATCAGTGAACTTCTGAAAACACAGTTTTCCTTGCTTATATTTTCTGGAAAACAAAAGTAAATTTGGTTTTCCTTTAAAACTCAAGAGCTATTAAGACAGTGTTGTACCTCAGAGTAGTTATCTGTACTATCCTCAACCACAACTAAACCATAGAAATATCAGAAATTCAAACTCTGTGGCATATAACAGGCTAAATGCAGCACATTTTAAAAAGTTTTTATTGTACTTTATCACATAGAGAATTACGTCTAACATATGTGGTTGTTGAAGAAGCTATTTTATTTTATTTTTTGGAGACAGAGTCTCACTGTGTTGCTCAGGCTAGAGTACACTGGCACGATCTCGGCTCACTGCAACCTCTGCCTCCAGGGTTCAAGCAATTCTCATGCCTCAGCCTCCCAAGTAGCTGGGATTATAGGCGTGTACCACCATGCCCAACTGGTTTTCTATTTTTAGTAGAGACTGTGTTGGCCAAACTGGTCTCAAATTCCTGACCTCAAGTGATCTGCCCGCCTTGGCCTCCCAAAGTGTTGGGATTACAGGCATGAGCCACCATGCCCAGCCAGAAGCAATTTTATAATGACAGAATACTAAACTAGCAGACCAGACCTGGATTCTAGGTTAATACACTTTTATTATCTACTATGTATCAGGAATGTGCTAGCTGCTAGGAATATAGTGGTATATAAAAGACACCTGATCTCTGCCGTTCTGGCCAGTTTACAGGAATGAAAGACATGAGATAAATATTTAAATAGATAATTATAAGTGTACACAATACTTTGAAGATAAACTATATAGAGAATGTATCTAGACACCTAATGTACAATGAGGGAATCAGAGGTCTCCCTGGGGAAAAGATACTTAAGCAGGGACCTGAAGAATGAATGATGGATAGAGGCTCTATCAATTACTAGTTGTGAAACTCAAGGTAAGGTGAAGGGCAGGAAATAACATTAAAAGCCCATAATATGACAGATATTGTGGTAGTCATTTAACCTACAGTATCTTTTAACTCTCACAAAATCCTGTGAGGTGAGTACTATTAGTCCTAATTCATAGATAAGACAAGGGAGGCTCAGAGATGAAATTACTTGCTGAATGTCACAAAACGTAAGTGGCAGGAGGTAGGATACTGAAATGATGTGTGTTATATGCCACAGTCAATTCTTTTCCCATTATGTTGTTTATTAGTGTACTTGAACATGCCTCAGTTTGGGTTGCTTGCTTATCTACAAAAAGAAAAAAATATGATTTACCTCATTAGGAGGACTGTTGCAGGGATTAAATACGACAAGGTATATGAAGGGACTTTGTAAACTGTATAGCACTATATAAATGTAAAGAATTATTAGCAGTAGCAACAGCATATGTTAATCAGTAACTTTACTTAGACAAAACTACATTATACATTAGTGAATTTAAATTCACCTGAATACAAAGGATCAATTACAAGAAGCTTGTAAGTAACTACAGTAGACAAAAATGGAAGTGTGGCCAATGATGCATATGTTTTCAAAGCATCGTGTTTAACCTTGAAGCAGCGTCTGAACAGGAAGTTTGAGAATATTCCAGAGAAACCAGCTGTTGTTCCAAATGACGTTGTTTGATATATATTTGGTGTCCTAATAGAAAAAAAGAAAAATTCAGTTCACTGTAACATTGAACTTAATGGATACAGCCTTTCCTAAAAAGTTGTTATTGCGTATTTACTCAATATGAAATACTTCTTGAGCACTTACTATGTGAAAAGTATTTTCTAAGTGCTTAAGATAGGGCAGTAAACAAGGCAAAAGAAAAAAAGAAAAGGAAAGAAATTTCCCACCCCTCATAGAACTTGTATTCCAATGAGAGGACATGATTCTCTCTCTGAGAATATTTACAGTAGTTCTAAAATAGAGCTCTTTTAAATAATTTTGGTCACAAATAAATATAAATATGCTCCAATGTAGCCAAATTTTATGAGTTACCCAAATCGAAGAATACCTTTCCTGCAACTAAAAGATTTACTTTGCTTAAGTTCATCTAAAAAAAAGCTATTTACACTTGGTTAGGCCTTCTATTTCTGCATTAGTCCCAAATACATTTAAAATAATTTGTCCAAGATTTAGAAAATTTCATCCAAAGAAATCTGATCTAGTTTTCTTATTGAGACCCATACCTAAATCCAGGAAATAAGATCAACTGTCCTTTGGTTTTATTCTTGAACTCCATTCATTTAAAAGTCAAAATGGCCAGTCTGGCCAACATGGTGAAATCATCTCTACTAAAAATACAAAAATTAGCTGGGTGTGGTGGTACACGCCTGTAATCTCAGCTACTTGGGAGGCTGAGGCAGGAGAATCACTTGAATCTGGGAGATGGAGATTACAGTGAGCCGAGATTGTGCCACTGCACTCCAGCCTGGGTGACAGAGTGAGACTCTATCTCAAAAAAAAAAAGTCAGTATGTTAATGTGAGACTATATTTATACCATGAAATCTGTATTCCCTTTTGCTGTACTAAGTACTGTGGCTGAGATAATCAATCCTTAACTGATTATAATTACTCACCAATTAAATATAAGTACCCCCCCAATGATTTTCTCTTACTTTTAATTAAAATATATTTACTGCACAAATGTTTTAGCAATACTTTTGGATACTTTTTATGAAACAAAAGAAATTATCCACAATCCCAAATATTCCAACAAACCACTATTTTCATCTGTTCTTGTTTCCCTCATTCTTTTTTTTAAAGATGTGTTCTTCATAACCAACTCAAAGAATAGGATAACAAAGAATAGGATCTCAGAAACAATGGCAATACAAAAGACTTGCAAATAAAATGATTTTCAGCCTGGGTATTTCTCTTACATTTCTTTTCTAAGATAGTCAAAATTTTTTTCTATGATTTCTATGATCATTGGTCTTCTGAGTTTTGCATCTTCTAGAGCAGGACTGGGTTGACCATGCATAGATGCCGTCATCTTGACATCCTGGAAAAAAAAATTCCAGAGCCATAATAGCTAATGATATTCATATTACATAAAACCTTACAGAATTCTACAGATTCAGATTTGAAAACATTTACAGTTTAGTAGTGTGCCAGGTACTGTGTCATCTGCTTTCACATATTTGTTAATAATTCAATCAACATTTACTGAGCTCTTATTACCTGTTAGACATTGGCTTTTTGTTATTATTTTTTATTTTCTTGCTAAACATCCTACAACACACAGACATTGGCTTTCTGATTCACACACTAACTTGAGAAATTGGTAGTATAATGATCATCTCTATAAAGATGAGAAACTGAGGGTCTGAAAGGTTGGCTTGCTTAAGATTTAGTTTAGAGGGATAACATACTGATACTGTTTCTGTTTTCCTCTCTCCTCATTCTGAGAAGGCAGTTAGGCCCTTTGTAGTTGTCCTCCTAGCTCTTCAGGTGGGGAGGTGGAAACAATGGCTGCTTATTGACATCTCTATCCTCAGTTTCTCATGGAAGACTGAGTTCATTTTGGAAATCGTGTTTCATTTCCTAGAGAGGTAGGAGAGAGCAGGGATTGCCTTGGAGAATAGTGAGAAAGAAAAATCAGAAAGAGGGACACTGCTCCAGGAAGGGAACAGGCAGTAGACTGTGGCTACTACTTTGAAGTATATAAATTACATAACCAGTTCCCTATTACCACCTGTGGTGGAAGCAGAGCCTTTGCTAGAAATGATTATGTAGTATAGCAGAGACCCACATCTGCCACCACACCTGGCTAATTTTTGTATTTTTAGTAGAGACGGGGTTTCACTATGTTAGCCAGGCTGGTCTCGAACTCCTGACCTCAAGTGATCTGCCTGCCTCGGCCTCCCAAAGTGCCGGGATTAAAGGGGTGAGCCACCGCGCCGGGCCCCAGAGACCCACAGCACTGGGCTCCTTGGTTGGAAGGTTCTTGTGTCCCAAGTGTGATGAATAGACAGCTGCCAATGTCAAGGGACCATGAAGACTTGGCCAGTAGCATCTTAACAGAAACTAGAGAGATTAAAAAACAAAACAAATCAACAACAACAAGAAAACAAACCCTGCACTCTCAGACAGGATCCTTTCTGAATGTTTTGCTCTGGGCAAGACTCTAGAGTTTCTGTGAAAAGTCTTAATAACATTTGTTAAATCCAAACATGTAGTTGCAAATGTTTACCTACTACGGCAGCCAAGTGGAAAGTCTATTGCCGCTAAATTCACTGCTTTTTACTCTTTTTCCTCCAGATTAGCCAAATAGCCTCTTTACAAATGTACACTAATCTCAATTTTAACGTTTATATTGAAGGCAAATACTAAATCTCAAAGTTAAGGAGTCCTAGACAAGAGGATTAGAGGGGATAAAGCATAATGAACACACAAAATACTTCATAAATCAGTGGTTCTCAACCTTCAGCATGCACAAGAATCACATGGGGTATTTATTTGAAATGCAGTCTCATGAACTCCCTCCTGAGATATGTGGATTCAGCAGGAGTAGGATGAGGCCTAGAATCTGCATTTTAATAGCACCAAGTGCTTTTGATGCTGTAGTCAATGGACACATGTTGAATATTACCGTAATACTCATTTGCTGAATGAGCGGTATGTACCAATCCTAACTATAGAAGGGCCAGTTCATTATACACGGCTCCTGGCATCAACATACGTAAGTTATGAGCTCCTTTGAACCTTCTTATGGCATTACACAATGAGTAATAATGGACCAGTTTCTTTCTCTGCATCATCGCAGAATTGTACTCAATCTTTTTCTGTAACATTTCTGGAGAGGGCAGGGGGAAAAAAAAGTAAAATATTTTACAAATTACAATTTTTCAGTGACTAGACTTACATCTTTTTCCTCTCCTGGACAAATGGAAAGTATAAGGGTTAGTAACATCTAAGGGAGATTCTATACCTAACCCATCTATTGTACTAAGATGGCAGATGTCAATAACATAAGTAACCATAAACCTTACATAAATTTTTGTTTTGCTCTCATCCAATTCACTGAAGTCCTTCACCTTCCACCAAAAACAAAAAACAAAATAAACTTCCAGGCAATATCTTCTACTAATCTCCTACCTAGTCTACACCCTAAACTCTCTATAGGGAAAGTAGACACCCAGGATTATGATTCCAGGATAGCAAATACTGAAATACTGAAAAGAACACAGGAAATATTATTGAGTGCTTAAGCTTTGCAAGGCACTGTCAAAGAATCGACTGCTTTCATTACACCCCTCCCCTCTTAAGGCCACTCAACTAGTCACCATGCTTATACCAGTAAGAGTGGCTTATAGTTTGCAAATCATTTAACGGTTTTGTAGTGCTTTCATGTGTATTATTTCACCTAATAATACATTTTTCACCTAATAATAAATTTCAACTTTAGAATTTTATTCAGTATTCTCTCATAATTTAGGGAGCACCTGGTATATGCCAGGCCTCCGAGTAATCAAGATACAGTCATCCCATCCTCAGGAATCCACAATGTAGTGGGAGTTCAGAACAAAAAAGCTGGCAATTTAAACACAGAATGAGAGTGTGACATAAACGAAAAACCCAACAACCTAAGAAAAGGCAAACTTAATCTAGCCAGAGGAGGCGTGGGAAGGCTTCCCGGAGGAAGTGACATTTAAACCAATATCCGAAAGAGAACAATTTGGCAGGGGAGTTGGGACGGATAGAAGCAGGGAAATATTCGAAGTTGAAGAAAAAGCCTGTGCAAAGGCCTGGAGACAAGAGAAAACAAACCGCAGATAATGAGTACTAGAACTTAGGTAATCTACGTTCTCTCCGCCTCTTTCCACAACAGCTGGAGACTTAATCGACTGCTCCTTGCATGGACTTGGGGGCTGTTTTAACTTTTCAAATCTCCTTTAAGTGTATCATCTTAGAAGACTCTGCCAACACTTTGAAGCTGCAGAAATCACCCCCCATACCACTTCGGATTTCCGCCTACCTTGGGCGCTTCCTCAGTTACCACCGGCAACACACCTGACTCCCTCAGCTTGGCCCCAGCTTCATACCCGAACACCGCCATTTTGGTGGCTCACGTGATTTGCTGGTGGGCGGGAAGTGGTGCGGGTTTACGGCTCACGCCTCTCGCTTGCAGCCCGGGCCCGCCCCCCTCAGTCAAAAGCCGCGCCCTCCATCCTGTCTGTGATTGGGCGCGGTGTCTAGAAATTACGGCCACTTATTCGCTTAGAGGAGGTCCAGGTGCCTGTGGGTCCGCCCCCATCGCCAGCAGAGTATTTCCTTCCCTTGCTATTTGTCAGTTTAGCTCCCTGTTTTCCTCGCGTCTTGCGGGGAGGATGGGGCGGTCCAAATGTTGGAATGTTACTGCGCTCCTGCCTCTCCTCAGGGCACCTCTGGTAGCTGGGAACTAGCTGCCTGCCCCTTTCAGTCCTTGAGGGAACTCGCCCCTTTGCCCTGGCCTGTGTGGTGTTAAAGCTCTGTTTCTCGGGCACCTCCTCCTCCAAACCCCCAACCAGCCGCCCAGCGCCATCAGAGCAGCCCCGACTAGCCTCCTCCCCTCTCAGCAGTCTGACTCCTCTCCCCAGTCTGTAGTCCCCTCAATTTCCATCCTTTAGCCCCGCTTGGAAGGAGACCGGAGAGAAATTTGCCCACTACCCCCCGAGAAGACCCACTTGTCAGTCGTGTTTCAGGGTAGGGGGCACTGTAAGGCCTGGCGCTGTTTTGTGCACGTTAAATGCCCAGCAGTATCTCCCAGACCGGCAACCCCCGACCCTCCAGTCTCCATGTCTTAGAGAAGCCAAATTCGAGAGTTATATAATTTCTAGTGCTGCTGTTGCTCCTTCCTGAAGAAACACTTCATCGCGTGGAGGGTGCAGGACATTTCAGTGCTCTTCCCTAAAAGAACGGGGCTTGGGCAGGGGTGGCCGGCGGTGGCAGAGAAATGTCTTGTCTTTTCTGCAAAAGGAAGGTGGGTAGTTTGAAGAGAGATTGAGAGAAAAGGATGTGGATGTGAAAGCCAAGCAGCTGCACTTTTTCATTTTGAGGAAATCGCGGACCGTTTGCATAGCTTATGCTTACATGTCTGATACTACTACGGCGTCTCTGAAAACACCTTTGGGGGAAGGTTTGGCTTCTTTCGAAGTCTCAGTGTTTTTCGTCGCCGGATAGGGAGCTGCTTGGATGCGAAGAGATGGCATGATGTGAATGACTCCAGTGTGAAGAAATCTGCTTCGCCAACTCATCCTGCATCAAGTGCCCATTGAGTAGCACTGTCACTTTAATGTCTCCATGCCAAGGGATTGCTTTCCTTTTTTTTCAATCCTCTCTGTTAATACATGGGAGGATCAGAATCAGAGGTGCATTAAGGATCAAGCCTGGGGGCTTGGAGAGCACAGAAGAAAAAAATGAAAGTGACAGCAAGCTGGATTCTGAGTTACTGAGGGGGTGAGATCCGGAACTTCTGATCAGTAAATAGAAGGGGGCCTTTCGGTGTGTGTTCTGCCACAGAAAACTGTTCAAACTCACCTATCTTTTTAGAGACTGGAGTCAAAGAGGTTTTTAAAAGTATTTTTTGGGAGGTGGGGTTAAATTTTTCTCTACATATTTGAGGATCTTTTTCATCATGTTTCAATTTGACCATGTATAAAGTAATGAGACAGCTGTCTAAATTTGGTTTGTGCCTTAAATGAGTTAGTCATTGAACTTCCAAAAATGTTGCTGCCTGAAGAGGAATTTCAGTAACGTTCTTCATGTTTACAATAATTTTCCCAGTTTGTAAAAACAGTCTAAATATTTTCTGAACATTGAAAAACTTGAAAAACTAAAAACTTACGTTTCTGTAAACTCTGTGGGCGGTGTAAAAAGTTTAGTTGTGGAAAAAGTACATCATTACTTTCTTTATCTGACATAGAAGACTCAGCCTGGATTTCAAAACTGAACAGTGAAGTGGTTTGCAACAGTTACCTGGCTCTTGGCCTCAATCCAGCTGGATCAAACTGAGACCTGAAAAGAGATCTTGAATTCTGTGGCAGTGGAAAGACCCAAGAATGCCAGTCAAGAAGAAAGGTGGGCTATGAGGTTGCTATATAATATTTCTGCCTTTTGTTGGTTCTGGTACTTGTAATTTAAACTATATTCCATTTGAGAGTAAAATTTTGCTTCAGTTTGGAGGAAATTTTTATTGTAATATAGTTTCAGTGGTACATAGTTCAGTAATATTATCTTGCTAAAGTAAAAGGGAGTAAGACTATAGTATTTATTGATAGATATTTACGATTTCATACATCAGGTTGTTTTTATCACCATTGGTAATAAGAATAGATTCAGTACCGCAGATTTGGAATCTTCTCTAGCTTGTTTTCTTAGCTTGTTAAAGGTTGCTTTTAAGCGGTTTTTAAAAAAACTTGTACAGTGGAGCTCTTCCTCATGGGTTTAATATTTATCAAGCTAATTACAGAGTTGTGGAAGGTAGCAAAGTAATTTCATTTGCACTGAACAAAATTATAGCTTTATAATTTATCTTTTGGTTAAAAATAGTTTCTTATTTGGATTTATTCTGGTGTAAATCTTCACTTTTGTGATAAAGCACAACTTTCATGACTATTGTGCTTTTCCAGATATATGCATTATCCAATAACATGATTGTCAAGTTCCCCATATGGGGCAAACTCCTGTTTTTTTCTCCCTCCTCAACAACTTTTATTATTGGAATTGATCAAGATCTAGTGAATTACTGAAGCATAGTTGATTATAATCCGAACTTGGGGATTCAGTTTAGCTTAGACGCACCCCAGGTTAACATTGTTCCAAAGGATCTTAGTTTGGGATTGTTTTTGTTTTGTTTTGTTTTGTTTTGACATGATATGGCAGGTGAGATCAGCTGTAAAGAGTTTCTCAAGAGTTTTGAATCAAAATTTATATGACATCCTTGAACTCTGCTGTACTGGACTAAGGTAGATCCAAATGTTGTCCAGTTACGTGAGTTGCTACAGTCTGAAACTAAAGCTCTGGGTGAATTGCAGGTTAAAGTGGAACTTATCTCTGCATGGTGTTTAATTCTTCTACCTGTGGATTTGTTAGGGATGTTGAGGAAAATTATAATCCCTGAGATGCCTTATCCAAGCTGATATTTACCTAGAACTGTGATTTCTGCACACTGGGATTTAAGATTGAGATTGTTTCCTCCCTCTGCTGTTTCTAATAATACCACTGACAGAAGTAAACTCTTTATGAGATTTTGGAGCCACACCTGTCCAGACCAGACACAATTGGTTTATCGAGAACAAGAATGGTTTTGGGAGTGTAGCCAATAAACGATATGGCTCTTTGACATATTTAAGTTGATGTGTGTTTTTATTCTTTCTACCATTTCTCTAGACAGTTTCTTTTGGATTACCTTATTTTGAACTAATAATAGAATTAAACACATATGTATGTGTGTGTGTGTGTGTGAGAGAGAGAGAGAGGAAAAGAGTGAGAGGGAGACAGAATGGGAAGGGGGAGAGAGAGAGAAAGAGATAAACGGTATATAGGAAGGAGGAGGAGGAAGCTCAGTTGATATTCTAGATATAACTTAACTAAGCAGGTTTAGTTAGAAAGTTTAGGACTTAATGTTTCTAAACCCCATAAACTGAGTTTCTTAAAAGTTCTTCCCTTTGAAAAACTGTTACAGAAATTGCTGATACATTGCTGAAATTATAATACTTTAGAAGTATTCCTCTCCTCCTTTGCCTACTTCTTTCTCTCTTCCTTTGCCTCCCTCCTTCCCTTTCTTCTTTCCTTCTTCGATAAATTGACTGATGGATTGAATTTTTAAAGGAATCAACAAGTTCTAATTAGAAAAACAAGTGTATATTTCTATGATACCAAAGTATATGTTATATAGTTTTCCTTATAAACTGATCTAGAGAAACAATGTATCTTGCTTTTAATCTCTTAAAACTGTTAGTATTATGATACATATTCTTGAATATTGTAGACAACTAGCCAAATAAGTTATAATGTGTGTGTTATATTTTTCATTGGCTATGCTTACTATCTCTACTGTTTACCTAATATAAGAACAGTATTTTTAAGTTTAACCTAGATTTATTCTGCAGGGATCACTGACCTCTGTCACCTTGAGTCTTTTTCTCTCTTCATTGTTTCATGTGGTAGACATGATGAAAGAGCTAGACTTAATGTGATTCTAAACAATAACTATCCCCACTGAGCTAAGTGTTTATTCATTGTTGAACATATTCTCATTAAAGTGTGAAATTTTCATAAGATGGATTTTCATTTGGTATTTATTTAGTATATTGTTGTCAAAGAGAGAGGAGATTCTTTTATTGATACCATGCAACCATGGTGGGAATTCGGAATGGGTGTGACATCTCACTAAGCCCATTTCTAGGTGCCATTCTGGACTGCTCTTGGATAAACTGAAACTACTGTTCCTCAAACCCCATGTTAACTGCTCGTTTGCTTTATGACATTACTTTCTACTTCTCTCACTCTAGTCTCTTCGCGTTTTTACAGATCTCAGTTTTATCAACAGAAGTCTCTTCTGTTTCCCTGTTGGATATTTTTTTTTTTTCCTCAACAGTTGCTTTTCATTCAAGATTCTCTTATCTATAGTAGTAACTGGATTTGCTCCCAGGTGAGCCCTTGGGACAATCTTGAACATATTTTAATTTGTGAAAATTTAGGACCAATTCAGGATAAGTTGTATTAGTATTCTCTGATATGATGCAAGACCATAGTGTGTTATAAGGGTCTGTTTTAACAAGTCTTCTTGAATTGATCTGATATGATTTCCTACTGGGTTAATGTAAGAAATAAAAGTTAATGATAGTTATGCCATTTCTTGTGTTTTACAGCAGAAAGTTGCTGTTTTAAGGATAAAAATGTGCTTTAACAGAATTTTCTAGTACAATGCAGCTTCTTTTTTGAATAGCTTTTTGTTCTCATTGTCATTAAATATGTAGAAAAAATCAATGCCTTTATTACTTTAAGATAGATGTTCATTTCATTTCGGTGTTTTAAAAAATTGTCCTGTTACTGGGCGCAGTGGCTCACGCCTGTAATCCCAGCACTTTGGGAGGCCGAGGTGGGCGGATCATGAGATCATGAGTTC